ACTCATTTTGCACCTGCTACTATGGAATCCATAGACCTGCTCCTGTCATATCACAACTAGCCTAAGTAAAGGGAGTGAAAGAATCTGTAACATTCTTTTCACATCCAAGTGCCCTTCAAATCAGAAAATGTAAAAAAGCTGTCCTAACAGATATAGGCCTAATGCATATCCATTTCAAATTGTAAATAAGAGAATAAGATAACACATTTTATAAGCAAACACCTGTTTAATGGCATGACAAATACCATACCCAACAATGTAAAAGCTGCTCAGTACAGTATTAGTGGCCTCAAACCAACTTCCTGTTAAACATCAGTATTTTTGCTGTGGACTGCCCTCCAGTGGACCAGATTAGAAAACACATTTCTGATAGGAGCCTTTTGAGGCCAAGTGCTAAAAGGGGTTACAGTGTGGCTCCTCCTGCTCTGACATTTGGATGTAGAGGACCACAGCCCAACACTTCCCTCTATTCTCTGCCTCTTCCTTCCACTGGAGAGAGGCTATAGGCTCCACTTTTCCTTCCTCCACCCCCCAGCCCATTGTGCACAACTGCCCACGGATACAAAACCCTGAGTTATTCACTTTTAATTGTCAGTGCTAAAACATGGGACCTGGGAAAGAGCAGTTACTATAGCTTTCATTTTACGGCCCTCTTCAGTGAATGGTGCTTTTCTTTTGGTATGAAAACAGAACACAATAGCATTTGCAGCCCTTATTATGTATGGATTCTATTCTATTTTAAGGGCAAGAAACTTTGAAAAGAGATTTGATGAGAATACAGCATGCCTTTCTTTATGACTATATACTATTTTAGACTCATTTTAAAGGTGCACTGTGTAACTTTTCTCTGCCATCTGCTTCTCTCCATGGAGATGTTATTGCATTGCCTGGAATGTTCTTGTATATCTAACTCACCTCTGCACAAATCTGCCCTATAAGATCACCAAGTGGCATCAAATGCTTGTCAACATGGATACAAGCTTAATACCATACTAGAGAACATTCTAAGAAAAGCAAACATTTCAATATATATCTTTCTGAAATGTTACTTAATGCACCTTAAAATGAATGGTTGATTTATGAGCTTGGCAATAGATAGGTCCACTAATCAAGCTGGTAAGACAGACTAAAATCAAATATCGTTCACTAGTTTAGTTTTATTTAGCACCCATAATATATTTCCTAAAAATTTCCAACTAATACTGCTGATCTATTCTAAACCTAGTTCAATATAAAGCTTTAGCCAAAACAGTTTGAACATTGTTAGAGCATGTCTGGGAACTCATCCCCAACTCAAAAACATGAGTCAGACTACAACCTGTAAGCCTATCTATTCAATGCTTTGCAAATGATCATAATCATAACATAAACTGTCATATGTGTAACTACTTTGCACCTGCCCAAAACACAACATATGGAAAATCTACAAAATTTGGTGAGTTATTAACACTTAAACAAACATTCCAGAGCTTATCACCATTTGCTTTAGTTTAGCTCTTCAATCTCTTGTGACAACTTCAAATGATAGTCCACATTTTTTACTACAGATGTCACAAAAGCATAATCTTAACATTACAAAATTTTAGCCAATATTTCTCGATAATTGCTGAACCTCACATAGGGCTGCAAAATGAATCCACGTTAAATTGAAATCGCAATTAGCAAATTGGAAAGGCTGAAGAATTTCCTCCCAAAACAACATTTTCTGTCTTTTTCTGAATAAAAACAACAAACCCTGTAGTTTAGATTTGTATAATCATGTTCTGAAATGTGCTTCTTGTATTAGTTCGTTAGTTCATTTCAGTCTTTTTGTAAATTCTTCTGGATGCGTCTAAAATGTGAACTTTGAAGAGAATCCTATAAAACATTTAATCTAATCACAAAGCTGATGTTTTTCCCAAACGGTGCAGCCCTAACACCACATGACTTGCAGCTTAATGTCTACTGTCTGCATTTTGAATCAGGCATAATTAAAACGATCACATGGCTAGGAAGGATGGCTCTGGAAGACTTTGCTGATAACGCATGAAGTTGCCCAAACCTGTCCCACTCTGATGTGAATTACAGCGCTGTTACCTCAGATGAGTAGTGTGGGAATGCAACCTGTTTTTAACCTCTGGCTTTGATTAGAATAGCGCTGATATTAAACTATTTGAAATGTCTATTGCATAAAATCTGAAGTCATACTTCTTGTCTAAGTAGGGCTGTACAATATGAGAAGATGCGAAAATGCTGCAAATGCTGACCAAAACGCAGTTAAAGTAGGCAGTAAAAAACAAAATCATGATTAAAATCTTTTTACAATTTTATTTTCAAAAAGCAATGAATTTCTGCTTGATGGAGAACATTGTGTTGATATGATATATTTTAGTACCTTTCAATATTGATTATTGTGCAGCACTAGAAATATTATTTTGCAATAAATTGGGTGATCATCATTATCATTATAATATAATTATTAGGGTTAAGTTTAAAGGTGCACTTTATAACATCTGTTGAAAGGGTACGCAATCTTCTTTAACTGCACACCCATTTTTTATGACATTGCCTGGGATGTTACACAGTATGGCATTAAATTAATTTTGCTATTTTGCTTTTATTCATTTACATTACATTTTGTCATTACAAAAACAAAACAACAACATAATAACAGATTCTTATTGTGAACTGTTTGTCTCAGTGGAGAGGGTTAAAACCATTCTGTGGAACATTCCAGTCAAACCAATAACATCTCCATGGAGTTAAGATGGTGACATTATAAAGGGTACCTTTAGGGTAGAATCTTTGCAGGAATGTTTTAAGGTTTATGGAAGCAAAGAAAATATTATAGAAAATATGACTCCTTAAATGACTACACTGCATTTACAAACCAGTCAGCCAATGTCTGCAGTGTAAGAGGCGTTGCTATGGTGTATGCAAACCATGCAACTGCCATAAATCCTGCCATAAAAACTGTGGTTTTGGTACCATTGGTGCATGGATTTTTCTCATTGTACTGGGGAATCGTTATAGGCTGTATGCTAGTGCAGTGTGAGTTTAGTGGCCTATCCCAGGTTAGTCTTAATCTCCTTAAACAATTTAAAATTTAGCAAAATTGCTATTGCTATTGTTTAACTGTCAAATTGCTGATTTGTTGACCTGGTTTATGGTTAATATCTATTACCAGGCCTGTCCACATGAAAAAATAAAAAAAACTGTCACAAAGTTCAATGTTTTTTTCTCTTCAATTAAACAAGAAAAAAATTATTTTCTATTATTACTCACCCTCAAAGACACAACTGTTAATAATATAATATATATGGTGTGTGGATCCAATCAGACAAATAATGTTAAAGTTTAACATTTATTGGAATATTTCTTTTAAAACTGAATCCCTCATATAGGCCCCTGCCCTCCATCTAAAATTTTGACATCCTCACATTCTAGATAGTCTATGCCGGCTCGGTATAAAAATCAAAATACTCGCCAATGATAAAATTTCTTCACGATCATGTCAATCATTCAATGACTGGGACTATAGAGGCGTATTATTATTACTATATACAGAATAGTGTCTGTAGTCTCCCTGCGTGCCTTTGGGCTCCAAAAATGTAAAGCACCTACGTTTAATAATAAGTCATTCCACCTCAGAAGATTAGGAATTTCATCCAGTGCATCCCATTCTCAACCCACCTATGCACTTGATGTGAAAGCCCAGTGGAGGTCTGAGGGTCCGTCTCACCCAGCCGCTCCGGAGCACCTCCAGGTTCGTTTCCTCGCCCTGGATCAGCAGCACTCGGTCGTGGATCCAGCCGAGAAAGAAGACCTCGGACAGGGCCTGTGTGAGCGCCTTGTTCCAGTAGTGCAGCATGTTGACGGCTTTAAAGTTGGCAAACACCTCATAGCCGCTGCTGTGGTGATGGCGATGCTCCTTCGCGCTCTCCTCCTCCGCTCTCCTCTCCTCGTCTCGTCCCAGGACCAAGGCGAGGGAGTGCGGGGCAACCTGTAGGAACTTTTCCATTGTTGCCGCACGAAAACTTGATCGCAATCCTACTCATTCGTAACAATGTGAGTTTGTTGTCTAGCAAGTTTACGCGTAAAAGTTAGCTTGAGCGCACAAGAGAAACTGCGCGGTGCACGGTGGTGGAGAGAGTGATCCATGATAGAAATGTCGAGCAGGTGTAATAGTGAAAACAAGTAAAAGAGTAGCAACCTGACACCCCGCGCACGCACACTGGCCCCTGTCAAAGCGTATTAACCAGAGCCCTATTTACAGCGGCACTGAAGGAAACGAGGCGAGGACTTGGCGCGCGGTGCGTTCAAAGGCTGCTCGGATTCTTAGAGTTTTAAACGGACTTTTAAACTATAAACAGTAACATAATCTAGCTCAAAAACGTAAAATAAACTTACAAAACTAATAATATAGCGTGTTGCCAAAAATACGTTGGATCGAATGACGAGAAATGCTAACTTATCTAGAGGAAGTACCAAGATGTGGCAACAAACGATCCAATGCAAGATAAACAAATCTTTTAACTAGACTTTTTCCTGTGTAATCCCTCGATCGTCCAGGTATGAGCTATATAGCAAAAGAAAAATGTAAATCTGTCAACAAGACAAAAGATTTAGAATAAAATGCTTCGCTGCTGATCCAACTATAAAACTTTTTAGGTTGACAGAATAATTTTTCTTTTGCTATAGTCCTTTTTACTCCAAAAACTGTAGTTTTACACTGCCGTTGGCGCCTCCCTGTGGACACACATATTTGCATCACGTAGGTCATATGAATGATTCCACTTAAAAATCCTGCTTTGTAATAACATGTTTTTAATCATATCTTCTGAAAGGGAAACATTTTGCTAGCAGGAAGCTGAGGGGTTTAAACAGGAAGGAGTTGTAAGCTTTATCCAGACTTTCGACATAATGAGTGATCTATAGGGAAAAAAAAAACGGAAACATTTGAATTTCTGTTGTTTCACAGAGAAATATTTAAACTGAATTGAAGAGTCCAAACTTCTCAATTTTATGACACAGCCAGTGAATAGCGGTATTTATTTATATAAAAAAAGAGGATTCCAATAGAACAATTGTACAAAGTTGCATTGCACAAAGAAGGCATGATTGAAATTTACCATTAGTATAAACATTGACCTGAAAAACAGATTAATCATTCAATTATTCTGTTTAATGTAGCTATACAGCCCATACTTGTTTTCCTTTAAACCACACAGCAACAATACCCATGCAAAATTGTGTTCCAAATTCCACTAACAGTGTACAATACAAAAGTAAAAGATACAAAAGTAAAGTAAAACCTGAGCTTGAATTCAAATGTGTACTTGACAAAGTCACACCATGTAAAATGAACTATGCACTAATAAATAATGAGTTCAGTCGGAATTGACAGGCATAAGCAGAGGCACACAAGAGACTTCATTTGAAGAGCTGACCTTAAAACATGATTCTGAACAGCAGTCTTGTATGCTTGTCGGCTTAAGTATTTATCCCTGAAGATTGTATAGTGTTAATGTATAGACCTGGTATTGTTATAAAACGGCTACATGATTTCAAATATTCACAATAGAGATAGTATCCTTCTTGTCTTATGCACCTTGATGCCAAAGCGATTGTAAAAACAGAACTGGGTGTGTACGTGGTAACTCAAAACTATCACTGAAGTTTATAACTTCACAAAGGCTTAAAATGGCTCAGATATATGTCAACTTTTGCAACTATCAAGCAGTAAAGTACATCTCCTTGGTCAGCATTGACACAATGCATGGGATCTGCTTCTTTGCATTGAAGCCTGGCGTGTTGGAGACAGACTCAAACTCCACTGCCACCTTGTGGTTGACGCGTGTCATGATGTGCAGGAGCTCCAGTTCTTTTCCATATTTACTAACCATATCACAGAGAGACTGCATGAACCACGAGCCAGTCATGGTGTTCCTCCAGGAGTAGTAACCTGTAAGAAAAGAGTAGTGATGAGGTGGAGGAGTGAACATACATCTATTAGGAAACAATAGTATCATTGATCATGAGAAGGGCTGGCAATTAATCAAATATTATTCAAACTGATTTGACATTCACTTAAAATGGACAATGATCAGCTCAAGTCTGTTTTATCGATACATCTACAGCCAATCCTCTCTGTAAAAGTATGTGGTTTGGAACAGACTTAAGATTTTGGGGGAAGAAATTAGACTATTTCTGTGAAAAAGTATGTCTTGTTTACATTCAATAAATTAAAACATATTTTTAATTTGTGTCTGAAAATAATTGTGAAGCCGTGATCAAATAATACAAAGAGAAAAAAAAAGATGAGCGAACACAGATGAGCGAACACATTTTGAAAAAATGATTCTTTCCCACTTTAGTCAGTGAACTGAATATTGCTACACTGAAAAGGTGGAAAAATTGGATGATGGGCAATACTGTGCGCATGTTAATTCTGTTTTTGTTCTATATATAAAGAAAACTTTAAAATTATAATAATAAAAATGATGGTGTGTAATATGTGTGACATACTGACCAGGAGCCGTAGAGTAGGCGTACAGAAAATCTGCCTCCACCGGGATCCGAGTGGTTTCATCGTCTGCACTGTCTGTTTCAATGCCTGCATCCAGATCAGTCCCCCTACAGGCCTGAGCAAGTCAAAACACAAACAATACAATAACACCATGTTACCAGTGCTACCCCACACATATCTATTCACGTGTGCACACCTGGATGAAAAAGAGCTTGGGCTTTCCCACGAGGGACCTGCAGCGATCGCCTCTGAACAGTGATGTGAGGTATCTGAGCTCTATGGAGCCGTCTGTGCCGAAAAATACACCCTCATCACCATGGCTCAATAAGACACAGATGAACGAGGCTGCATGGCTGTGGTCCTCCTTTGAAACTGGAAAAACACCATCATGTTAGACTGTGTCAGAAAGCTTGAAGGAGGATATTGTAGAAGCATCAAATACATGTGTGGTCTAATTTTAGCTGGTAGGGATGGGCAATATATCAATTCCAATATCTGTACCAGTGATAAATACCAGATATTAGTATGGGAGAAGTTTGAAAAGACTAATGAGTAAAAATGTCAGGAGAAGAGCTGTTAGGCTAAAATATGGCTGTATGTTTACACAATCACGCAAATTATTTATTTTCCAGATAAATACATTGTTTTATGTTAAAATATATGATATCGTTATTGAGAAAATCCCAATTCAGTTCTCAACAGTTTACGTGACTAGATGTTTAAAATTAACCAGGAATTATACTGAGGCTTACCAGCTGTTAAGACCTGCTTCATCTGCTCCACTGACTGATCGTTGTAAACCTTCACTTTGTAGCCCAACTTGGCAAAGACTTTCATGGCGTTGGCAGCATCCACGTCCGTGCCATTGCGCTGGTTCATGCCTAAAACAAGAACACAAAATATATTTTAAATTAAGAGCACAGGTTTCTGGTGGATGGTATGGTAGATTGTTTGCTTGCAAAGTTCCACAGTATAGCAAATATCTTATCTATGACGATGGAGAAAAGTAGATGACACCACCAGGCCAAGTTACAAGTCAGGTTTGTGGAGAGGTGAGTCCACTCACATTAACAGTGCAAGTTTTTCAATGTATTTCTTATCAGTGAAAACATGTAAAATTGAATAAATGCATTACAGTTTGGTCAAAAGATTCCTTAAACTACCTGCCTCTATGCTGAAAAAAATGTTTTTATAGGCATGTTATTTTTAGCCATTTCAGACATTTCATTGACTGGATCAAATATACTTAGGTTCTTAATTCTGATTGCCTGATAAAAACAGTAATCTTATAATTAATGAGGGCTTATCTTGATAACAGCCCCCCTTTCAAAGTACTTCTCAAACACATAGCATTGGATTCCCACTGGGGCAGATATATAAGGTGACATAACAGTGACTCCTGCACAACCTTCACTGCACAAACACAGTGATCATCTCTGCATCACATAAAGTAAGTCACACTGGTTTAACTTCAAACTCAGAGAAAGCCTTTGAAACCAAATTGAGAATATAATTGTGATAATTCTCATGCATTACAAGTGTATATGACAGGACTACGTATTTCACTAAAACCTAATCAACAGAATAGTTTAAGCCTTGCTCTATCTACTTGGACAGTTTTGGTGAAGTTGGAAATTTTATATGCAGGTTGAACATGGGCAGCAAATGTGACATATGTAGAAGTTATTTAACTAGTAACCATACTGTAAAATATGTCCATAGCTTTTTTATTAGCTTAATAGCAGTGGTGTTTTGATACATAAAACATTTTGACAATCACCTTTATTTGTTGATTTTACCTGTTTGTCCCTGCATTTAGGTGGATTTTTATAACATAGATAGATTCCTTTTTAGAAGTCAGAACTGTAATATTCAACTTGTATTTTTCAACAATTTCACAAACTGCCACTTAACTGATATCAGACCATGATCCATATTTAAACACTCTCCCACTAAACAAAGTAATAATAATAGAAAATAATCAACATCTGAATCTATCACTTTAAGTCACGCCAAATGCTTCCACATCAGATCAGGCAGAACAGCCCATAGTAATTAGTGACAATGTGAGCCTGACTTGCTATTGTTTAAGCCTACAGGTGCAACAAAATGGGTACAGCCAAGTCAACCTTTTTTTAAACAAAGCCCTATTTGTTAATCTCAGGGATTCAATGAAGGCAAAAGAGAAACTAAAATCTCTATAGGGGACTTAGGTATCATGGTGGAAAATTTGACCTAACTGTAATAAAATCTTAATGACTGAAGGAAGAAAATTAAAAATACATACACACACACACACACACATACAAATACAATAACGATAAAAATAAAATAAATACTATTATTGGATTACAATAAAAACTGCTTATTGTGTTAAGTAGTAGTGGAGAATAAGTATCTCCTTGTTTTTAATATAGCTAGACATTATTATTATATGGTTACTAGTCATGAGCTTAGCCCTTCCTCTTTCCATCTTGACAGAAAGCTAGTTTGACCTGGGGTGGGATGTTTTCTGGACAACTTAATTTGTCATATTTGCATCAAGACTTTTGAACTATAAGAGACGAGTGCTGGAATCTAACATTTTGGAGAGTAAATATAAAGTATATGTTATAGTATGGATGACTCTGTAATATGAAGCCCTTTATCACCTCACTTTACTGTTTTGAGGTACAGCCTACACTGAGAGAGAATAACACTGGGTGAGTAGATGGGAGAATGTGACTTACCTGTGCCCCTGTCAAAGTTCTTATTGTTGATAATAATGCATTGTCCGATGCTGGCATAGTCCAGGCTGTACCTGAAGCTGTGGGGGGCAGCCTTAGCGTCCACTTCCGAGGGACCAGGGCCAGGAGACATCATGGGAGACACAGAAGACCTACAACAACACTCATTAGCTTCACACGTATAAGTACAGCCAGAGAATAGTGTTACGGGAGGCTAAACATACAACCTCGCACGTAACTCAGGTATATACAGACTATCTATCTATCTATCTATCTATCTATCTATCTATCTATCTATCTATCTATCTATATCTATATATATATATATATTCTTTGAACTCATGAGAATATAATCAACTCATTTGAACATAATTATCAGTGGACACACAGCTGGAGGAGAAACAAGACCCGAATCGATGAATTCGCGAATAAATGAGCAGCAGCTTTAGTGCCTCTGCTGGCACAATGGACGCGTTAGCTTGAGTCTCACACTCACTGTTTTGTGTCCTCTTTCCTTGCGTCTGTGCGGTCGTCTCCACGTCCATTAGCCGACATGATTTAGATCAGGTCAGAGCTGCTACACATACAACTTTTAGCTCCAAAACACACAGCCAAAAGGCAAACCGCAAACACGATGAGGAGTGAAACTAACGGCTGCTCAGCTGTGTCCGGGAGAGACGATCGTAAACAAAGATGCTGATGTCACAGTGCACTCAGGGCTGCTTTTACTTGATGGCGCCTCCCCCGTACACTCTCAGCATTACAAGGGGGAGGTTATTCAAATATCATATTAGAAGGAAGTGATTTAAAGATGACAGACCCCGGATGTGTTTTGAACAGACTTTAATTTCTATAGAACACTGCTAAAACACTGCATTAAAAAGACAACCTAGAGGAATGACACAGTGCACATAAAAATTAATGTGTAGACCCTGACTAGACATTTATATTAGAAACATACTTCATACTTAATCATATTTTACATAGAGTAAAGGCAAAGCCTGAATTGTGAACTACAGCTGCACTGCCCGGCAGTGATGTGCAGAACTTTGTCCTGAACAGGGAATGAACTGATGACGGTCACTACATACACATTCAAAACACATATACACAAGAACTAAAGAGCATGTCTACAAAGATACTCAACAAGTGAAACAAAAACTCAGCAGAGAGAAATCAAACCAACTGAACAGAATTAGTGTTATGTCAACAGAGGTACTAACAGAATTTTTATTTAAATTAAATTAAACACACTGGGCAGCTCTACATATTAATATTGATTATATTTGTAAACAAAAGTGCATACGGTCTCTCTCACCCTGTTCTTTTCAAAATTCTGTACTTCGTCACATACATACACAAATATGTAGTATCATTTTGTGTCAGTGTTCTGTTAAGTACACTTGAGAATGTCAAATAAAATAATAGATTTTAAAATGAACCCATTCAGTCGCTCAATGCTGATGACAGTGGGTAAGATAGACACTAGCATGTTAAATCATTTCATATCTGAACATTTGTTCATACTGAACATTATGCCACATGTAATCACAGAGGCACTCTTATTGCTGTTAGAAAAAGTACAAGTGCAGCACAAATGGAAAACACATAGATTAAAGCTATGCTTGAAATGTTCACAGGAAATCAGGAAGACCTCTCCTCACAGCTTACTGACTCCTCACAGTTTACTGACCTTCACTAAATAACATCAATATCACAGGCAGCTCCAGCTGTAACTCTGGGACGTTGTTTTTTAAAGTGTACCCTCATAAAGGTCAACACGAGACAGATTATGGAGCTTTGCATCTGAAAAAACTACACATAGTAATCACGCAAATGTGTTATATCACTTGAAATGAACTGTCAGACTAAATTCATTGAAATGTTGTACGCATGACGGCATGTCCATCTTTGCTTTACTCGTTACAAAGAACTTCAGTCTTATTTAAAACAACATCAATGTGGATCAAAATCACCTTACTAGTAAATGCTTAGTCCGAAGCACTAAAGTATTTTTAACTGATTTTATTTGAACACGAGTAAGTAATGTGTAATAAATACTGGAGTGAAATTTGAAGTGACAAGATATTTAGTTGTGTTGGGGGTGTGGTCCAGATTCCATATCTGAAACTGCCTTGAGCCTCTCACAGCTGGAAGACAATAGAAAACAGAGTAAGTGTGAGAGAGAAGAGTATGATAGTTGTATTTGTAAGAAGTGCTCTTTTCACCATTTCATTTCCTGCAATGCAGTGTTAAAAGATGTCTGGACACATGTCCCAGTTGCCCTGCTCCTTGGTTTCCCAGTAGCCTCCTTTGTAGACGTGTAATGTCTCCCCAGACACAGGGTCAGTTATCTTCTCAAACCACAGCGCTTGGTAGTTATCTGGGTGGGTGCCTAAAAAGATTAAAAGCAGGCTTAGTTGGTCAAACAATTTCTAAATTAATAACACACAAAGAAATAGCAGCACACACAATGGACATCAGGCTGCAGGCGTGCAGCTTTAAAGGACAATTGTCTAAAGACCAAACCACTTCCACATTGGACTAGTATGTAAGCATTTGGCTTTACTTGACTGAAAGTGTTTCATCTGTTGAGGGTGACACGGGACCAGGGTCAGCTTTTAAGCTTTTAAGTAAACATCGTGTTCTAGTTTACTGGTACTAGTGTTCTACCATCCTACAGTACTTGCTTTTAACATGGGCTCCAGGATGACCTTCTTTGCCTTCCACTGTGAGAGAATGTTAAAATAGAGAAAATGAAATAAAAGAATAAGTACAGCAAAAGTGTCTAAATGTGAAGTATGTAATGTATAAGGCTACTTGCTTAGGCAAGAGAAAGCTGTTGGTCCGTATGGGGCTGGGGGGAAAATGAAGGATGAATCTCCTGTTGTAAAAATTATCTAAATCTACATAACTGACAGCATATATGACATGTAAGGGGTACTTGCATGCAACAGGTGTGAGAGGGGGAGTGTCCTCAGCGTCAGCTGCACACCAGCACAAACAGTGTCAACCCTCCACCCAAAACCCCCAAAGAGTTTGTTCACCAGTGCAACTTTGCGTGCTCAATAAAGTTGAACACTCCAATCAAAAATCTCTTAACATCAATTACTGGATATTAGTGTTGATTTCTTTTGTTACTGCCACAAAGCTACACAGGTGCTTGTTAAAATACACACAAAATGAGAGTGGAAATGATACTTGCTTTCATCAGAAACCTCACTGGGTTGATTGCCTGGCTCCAATGCATCAGCTGAATTAAGCACAAACCAGTGGGATGGGAAAAGATGAATCAACATTTTAATCATACTAAATCTATCACATATTATACTATAGTGTCAGACTATTGTACTTTTATACATTATAATACTAAGCTAATGTACAAGCTAATTTCCTAGATTTTGTGCTAAACTCATGACTGGTGAGGGCAGAGGACTTGCTTTTCAGAGGAGAGTCCTGATCCAAGTCCTTATCGACAGCTAAGTGATGAAGTAGAGATGGTGTACAGAGATGGATAAATTTGTCAGTATAAAAACACTGAAGCTCCTTACATACCTTCCTCCGGAGTGTTGGCAACCTTCACAGCCTCCCTCTCCCTCTCCTTGCGGGCTGTGCGTTGTTTCTCCTCTAGCCTCTGCTTCTCTGCATTAGCCTCGTCCCATCTCCCTTCCTCCATGAGCCTCTGGTCGGGGCGTCGCCGGCTGTCTGTGGGTGCCACGCCCTCCTCTGGCTCGTTCAGAGTTAGTGCAAGTGATGAGAAGTAATACATGTTTTCAGCTCCCTCACTGTCAACAGAAAATTATTAAATGAATGGCTCAGAAGATACCAGAAGTAACAATGTAAAGTGTGCATAACTTACGGTAATGCGTTCTTTCTCCAGATCTCTTTGGGTTGGAGTGTTTGGTACACTGGCCTCTGTTTGCCTTCTGTTCCATTCTCACCTATGCTGCTCTGCATCACCTTACGAAGCTCCATCTTCTCATCCCAGGTTCCAGACAGCACATAGTGGGCTTTGCCATCTTTATCTGTCACTACGCCTGAAACCTGCAGAAAATGTATTGACATGATTGTTTTCAATGGTCAAGTATGTGTGATGTGAGGTACAAAATGAGGGTAAATGAAAAATCTCACTTTTCTGGGTACGTCTCTGGAGAAGTAACTGTAAGGTGTAAACTTGAGATGGCAGCGGTCTCCTGTCTTGTGGTTCACTACATCGATCTCACCTGACTGAAATACAAAAAGACATGGTAAGGACTGTTGTAGGTGGGACCGCACATGTAACTCCTTACCTGGTCAATCCATAGTTTTCCAACAATAATGTTGTGTACTGTTGTTGTAACTTTCTTCCAGGAATAGTGATTTTTACTTTTGTCAAATAAACATTGTATAGCACCTAGAGAAAGAAATACAGCAGGTTCTCATTCCAAACTCACAGCAGCATTGCAGTATTGAATTGTGAAGCTTGTCACATGAATAGACAAACAGAATATCTGAACTTTGGTATGTGCAGGAGTGTGTATTGCCTTGACCACTCACCCAAAGGCATAATGGAGAGATATTTCCCTCTAAACTTGCTGGCTAAAGTAATCTCTTGTCTCAGGGTCCACCCCTTTTCAGAGAAAGCATGGTGAGCCGCAGCTGGTGGATGGTGACTCACCTGGGCAAAAGGAGACCACAATATTTGTCTAGGATTCTAATCATGTTTTACATTTGTACCTCGGGCAGTAATAATGTGCATTGTGCTTTGTCATACTTGTTCACAAAGGGAGCGGTAGCCACTCTCTTTGAGTCTGTCCAGCTCAAATGTCTCTCCCAGCAGTGGATTAAAGGGTTTCCCTGTGCGGAGGACTGTGGTGGAGTAGGAGGACACAGTGAATGCAGCTACATAACACATCTGTTCCAAAGAGCTGTGACACTTTGCTGCTTTGTCCAGCAGCTCATAATACTCCAGGTCTTCTGAGAGGCGTTGCAGCATGGACAGGGGTTCGTTAAAGTTTACCTGTAAAGCAATGACATGACATGAGTGACAGGACCAGGACAAAATTCATAAAAATGACATCAACTGCTGCTTATAATAAATTTTAACTAATATAAGCTGCTTACAGGCATTGGTATCTTTGAGAGCTCCTTCCCAATACAGTTCTTCATAATGCTCCACAAATTCAGATAATAATTTGGCTTGTCTGGGATACGTGTGCGTCTTTGTCGAACAGGCTCTAGCTCCATAGACAGTGGGGAGTCTGGATTTGATGCCAGAGACAGCTCATCAAACTGGACAATAACAAAATAAAAGAAATCATGTATACAGGAATACCCACAGATTTTTCTGAACTAGAAAAAAAATTATTTTCTCGCCTGGTGCCCCAAGAAACTGGGAAGGGAAAAAAATGCTTCTTCGGGTTTATGTGACCCTGAGGAGAGCATGAGGGCTAAACTACAGGAAACTTACATTTACTGACTGATCATCCATTCCAGTCTCACAGCTGATCCCGCTGACATTGCTGCTAGAACGCCTTAAGAAAAAAATGCACATTTAACAAAATACATTCAAAATAAGCATCAGGCTTGGTGCAAAAATATACCACATTTACTTGTGATATTTGGGGTCAGCTGGAACAGTAATGAACTCTTCCATTGCATCAAAAAACTCATTGTCATCGTCTTCATCGCTGGCGTCGCCTTTTGCAGATGAAGTGCCTACAATCAAATTAAAGGCATTTACATATATTTCAATGTTATGCTTGGAAATGTTGCAAAGAACATTTTGTTTTTACTTTTGGTTGCTAAAGATGGGTTGCTGCATGAGTTGGGCAGGACTGTTGCTCCTCTGAAGGCCCTCTCCAGGTGGTTGTGCTGTTTGGCTAACTGCTCCAGTGTCTCTTCTAACCGGATCTTCTGTTCTCTTTCTGTCTGTATAGCTTTCTGCCAGCGCCGGCTGTGGGTCTGGGCAAGTGAGAGGAAGTCCCGGCATGCCTAGAGAGACAGAGAAAGAGAGAACTGTAATTGGAGAAATTAGTAAACCTATACAATATCCAAAATTCTCCAACTTGATTTTAAAGGTACACCATGTAACTTGTTTCCTTGAGAGTCAGTGATATTGCTGAAAGATTTAAATATATGGCATTAAAGGTATCAAGAACAGACGTGTTCAAAATTGTTGGTACTCCTCTGGTAATGAAAAGAAAAATCAACAATAACTTGAAACTAAGAAAAGCAATAATAAATAAAAAAAACAAATACTGAAAAATAACTAATGAAAATCAGACAGTTTTTAAATTGTTGGTCAATAGAATAATTTAAAAAAACAAACTAAACTAAATAAACTGGCCTGGACAAAAATGGAATCCCTAGAAAAGACAGTAAATAGTTGGAAAATAGGAACATGTTAAACTTGTGTGTCCTCTAATTGGCATCACAGGTGTCTTCAACCTTATCCTCAGTCAGTCTGCTTGTTTAAGGGTGACATGTTATCATTGTGATGTTTGGTGACATGATGGATACAACACTGAGCATGGACCAGAGAAAGCGAAGAAGAGAACTGTGTCAGGAGACTAGAAAGAAAATGATAAACAGGTTAAAGATAAAGGCCATAAAACCATCTCCAAGCAGCTGGATGTTCCTGTAATTACAGTTGCACGTTATTCAGAAGTTTAAGCTAACCTCCCTGGACGTGGCTGCAAGAGAAGATTTATGACAAACTGGTCATGGGAGAATGTCCTTTGGATAGATGAGACAAAACTGGTGCTCTTTGGCAAGACATGTCAGCTCTATGTTCACAGACGCAAAAATGAAGCACAACAAGAAAAGAACACTCTCTCTACTGTGAAGCATGGAGGAGGCTTGGTTATGTTCTGGTGCTGTTTTGCTCCATCTGGCACAGGGTGTCTTAAATCTGTGCAAGGTACAACGGAATCTCAAAACTATCATGGCATTTTGGAACGAAAAGTGTTGCCTAGTGTCAGAAAGCTTGGTCTCAGTGGTAGGTCATGGGTTTTCCAACTGGATAATGACCCAAAAGATATAGCTAAAAACACCCAAGAATGGCTAAGAACAAAACATTGGACTGTTTTGAAGTAGTTTTTCTGTGAGCCAAGATCTGAATTCTATTGAACATCTTTGAAATAAGCTGAAACATGCTGAAGGCATCCTTCAAACCTGAGACAACTAGAGCGGTTTGCTCATGAGAAGTGGGTCAAAATACCTGTTGACCAGTGCAGAAGTCTCATTGACAATTACAGAAATCATTTGTTTGCAAAGTTTGTCTCAAAAGGTTGTGCAACAAAATATTAAGTTAAGGGTACCATCATTTTTGTTCAGGCAGTTTCATTATTTAGTTTTTTCTAATGATTCTCTTGAACCACAGGTGAAAAGCAATGTTTGATTTATGTAGGACAATTTTCAGTAAATTTTTATTTATTATTGCTTTTTCAGTTTCAAGTTATTTCAGTGACCACTGTTGATTTTTCTTTCATTTTCAGAGGGTTACCGGTAATTTTGAACACGTCTGTATATCCATCTTGTCAAAACGATTCCTAGAAACATGCATTCTCAAGCATTCTTACTGTGAGTGGGGATGCCTATCCACAGATTTGATCTATAACTTGGCCTGCTGTCATCATCTACTCTCCACAGAGAAAAATTGAATGCCATATGTGCAGCATTCTCCTTGGAAGCACACAGATGGCAGACCCTCACCAGAAATATACATAATGCACCTTTAAATTACGATAATGTTAAAGTTATAATAAAATATAAATGATGATGTCTTATTGTACTTCCCTAAATGATCATCTGATTTATTTACACCAAACTTACATTGATCATAGCGTTCGAGGTGATCCTGAACAATGTTGCCCGCTCTGTAACTTGTTTGAACTTTTCAGTTGAGTCTCCTCCAACTCGAAGGGCCTCAAGTTCAGACAAAGACCTATGTATAAAATAATTAGTGTACTGTATTGTGCGAGTAGTAATCTCATTCTCATCTGCCGATCTTACACCTTTGAAGTGCAGTGCCATGCTTGACAATAAGGTCATTGCAAGTTGCTAGATCCTCTACTTTACTGTTGAGGGTTCGAAGTGTGGCCTGAATTTCTGTATTACGTCCTAAGCCTGCCTGTTCTGGGGAAGGGGCCACTATTGAGAAATCATCCCCCGAGTCATCTGAAAGAAAAAACACGAAGCATGTTTCAGTACAGATAAATTTGTAACATGGATGAGACATATGGCCTCAAACATTTCCTTGCCTTACCTGAATCAGCCTGCATGCCCACAGCTTTTGCTTTGGCGAGCTCCAGAGCAGTGATCCAGCGCTGCCGCTCAATCTCAGAACTGGCCTTTAAGTGGTACGTCTGTGCACCACCGTTAGAAATAATAAAATTACACGAGTCTTCCACAGCAATGTTAGCTGTAGCCAAATTGATAGTGCCCCGACATGTGTGGCCCATCTCTGCCTGTGTCCTGAATGAGAAGTAAAAATATGAATAAATAATGCATTCATATTTTTTATTATTTGTTATGAATTCCAACTTACCTATAATAAGACAAAAGGCCATTGCTGAGGACAAACCACCGTCTCTGATAACCTTTGATATAATTAGTCCATTTGAAGAGCCAGCCTTTGTACATGTCCCCTGGGGTTGGGGTGGGGGGTTTGGAGTCTGACATCTCAGCAGTCTCTGTTGTCACTTGTTTAAGTTAAAACCTGTGCTAATAAAACCAGTATCATTAGACTTGCACGTGTTAACACAGGAGGCTACTGCCAGCCAGGTTACATATTCTTTAATGAGGTCTTATATCTGGTTTGATTATTTGATCATTACAAAAAGTAATATCATTTAGAAGGAGTGTTTAGAGTAAATAAAAATAACTGCATATTTCTAAAACATTTCTGTGCCAGAATCTGACTCTATAATTGACAACACAAAAGTTTTGTTTGGTTTAATCAAAAACAGTGTCCTATTTGTGAGCTACAGTATTGTGCTGTTCATTTGTTGGCCAAAGCTACTGTGTTCCACCAAAACATATTTCCCCACGAAGCACGAAAATGCCGTTATAACCTGAAACAAAATCGTGGGTTAAGTATATGAAAACATTAAAGCTACTTAAAACGGCGTCCCGTGATTAAGCTCCATGCTAACCTAGCTTAGCTAAATAACAGGAAGCTGTCAAACAGGGTGTCACGCCAAAGATGCGAATAAATGACACAGCTTCTTCAGTGTGATTTACCCAAGTAAGACAATATGTTGCATTTTGACAAGGCCTTACCGCTTTTACATGAAACTTCTGCCATAAATGCCATTCACTGCTCTCAAAAGATGATTAACCTTACTTGCTAGCATTAGCTTAGCTAGCATCTTTCAGCGGGTAGTGCAACAGATAAAACGGATCGTCTACATTGGTTCCACTCTGCGAATACATTGCAATATGATTGCAATAAACATGTTTTAATCTAGTTCAGTGGTGTATAATTTCACAAACGATAGTATATATAATATGCATGAATAATTTACTACTATTAATATTCTAATGTGTAACTTTGGTTCATCTTGTGGGAAAAAGTCAGCAACAAGTTATTTAACTCATTTATTGAATATATAACACGTTTTTATTACACAGGAAATGTAATCTCAGTTGACACCTAAAATCACTGTTTACTATATAATTGTGTATTTTTACAATTCAGTTCTTTAATGAATTCACTTAGTTATGTTGTTTGCATTCATGCTCTTTCCACTTCCACTGAGCACAATGTATGGTGTTTTTTGTGACTTCTGTTTTTCCTGAAGCAGGGCCACAGTTCCAAGAGGTGTGTCACTGCTGCTCATCTTTTTCAGAAGCACCTCCTCTTCCAACTTTTTCATCCTTCTCTCCGTTTTCATCTTTCCAGAGCCTTTTCCATGGAAACGATGTGAGAGTTGCCTGAAAGCCTCTTTTGGCGTGAGTTTACGCCCGGACTCATCTACATACTCAATCTTTACATCTGGTTTATAACCATCTTTATCCTTGAAATCTTGTGTGAAGCCTCTGTATTCTTCTCTGCGACTATATTTGTCATCAAAGCCCATTTTGTCCTCAATGCAGTAGTTTTCATTAGGCAAGGTGGGTTTCGGTGCTTTCACACGAGCCACTTTCTGCATTTGAGTGTCCAGTAAACCTTTATTTTTACACAGAAGCAAAGCAGCAGCAAGACCAGAGTTGACAATTGGCTCCTCATCCAGAATAGTGGTGGAGGCTGTTGCAAAATCAGGTTGTTTTTGCTCTTCATCCAAGTTCACTGTGCTCCAACCCACATTTTCATCCATCTCTGTGTCTGAGTCTCCACCATCCTCCTTTTCCTCCTCTTGTTCAAAGTCCATGATGTCTTCTTGGTCCTCTCTGTTACCTGAGAGACCATAGGTGGGAATATCACCGAGTGTTCTACAAAACTCGGACGTGGCATTGAACACAATGTTGTTCTTTTTGTCTGGATCGTTATCTCTGTCAGCTTTCTCTATCTTTTTGAGCTGCTGTGCCACCTTCTCTCCGGAGTCTTTGAGGAGCTGCTTTTGTCTGAGTTTCCTCTGCTTCTCCAGTTGTTTATGCAGCTCCTCCTCGGCCTCATCCTCCTCGATCACAGCTGGTTCGGGAGGTGTAAAGTCCTCGTCGTCACTGATATCCATTTCAGCCATTCTCACATCATCAGACATTTGAGGAAGGTTTACAGCCATTCTGCTTTCATCCACCTTTTCTCCTTCACCACCCTCATCATCTAGTTCCTTGCGTCCTTTTCCTCGCGCCCTGGAGCCAAAGTCAGAGCTGCGTGTGTCATCTGGGAGTAAGTCGCTTAATGTCTTTTCCTTCTTTCTGATCTTCTTCACGCGGCATTTGGTCTTTTTGAATCCGACCATCTCTTGTTCGGTGTAGTATTCAGAGGCGATGGTGAGAGCAGGCATTTCCAATGTCTGGGCTTGACTTCGGAGCGTTTCCCTCATAGCCTGCAGCTCCCGCTCCCGTTCACCATCAGCAAATCCCCCAGTGCCCAGGCGGAAGCTCTTTTTCTTTTCTCCATCAATCTCCTCATCGTACTTGGACAGCACAGACCGGTTTTTAAATGTGATCATGTCATCCACATTCTCCTCTTCCTCATAAGGCTTGTAGTCTGGCTTTTTCTTTTTAAGCTCCACATTTTTATCTGCCTTTTCTTTGTCAATCAGTCCCACGTTTACAAGAATATCCTCCTCTTCATCAAGTACACCTTTATCTTCTAGAGTCAAGATGACAGTCTGACCCTCGGCAAAGGATTCAGTCTTGTGCTGTACTTTGAGTCCTTTTAAATCTCGAGCTGAGTAGGCTGGTTTCCTGCTGTGTCCAAATTCTTCCTCAACCAGATCGCTGACACCAAACTCTTGATCCATCTCCTCCAGGAGCTTGGCGCGTTTTTCAGCCAATTCTTTTTCCTTTTCCAGTTTTCTTGTCTGTGCAACCCAGGCTGCAGTGTCATCCAACCAGTCCTCATCTGCTAAGGATTTTACTTTGCCCAATTTTTGATTGAGGATACGTTTTTCTTTCAGGGCTGCTAGCTTCTCTCGGATTTCTTTTTGCTGCGCGATGACAACAGGGTTAATAGTCTCAGCCACTACAGGATCTTCTTTAGTCCCTGCTTCTTTCTTACTTTCACCGAGCTCCAAAGGCTTAAGCCCAAGTTTTGCTCTAAGTTTGTTTGTCTCCTCGATGCTAAGTGATGCATCTCCACCCGCAGACTTGGGTTCATGTTCTGTGTGACTGTCCTCATATCCAGCATCAAGCTTTTCCTTTTTGACTCGAGGTTCACCGCTGCTGCGCTCACCTTTGCGGCTCTCACGACCACTCCGATCCCGGGACCTGGAGCGCCTGCGTTTCTCCTTCTCCCGGCCACTATCGCGCTCCTCTCGGTCCTTGTGCCGGTGCTTTTTATGTTCTCGGCGGCGATCTTCCGTGTCCTTGTCTCGGCTCTTCTCCTTGTGCTTCTTTGATGATCCCATTGTTGTCGCTAGTAGTTTAAAAAATCGGTATCTGAAGAAAAACTGCAGTCCACGCTTCCTCGATTTATGTTTATGACGCCACGTTAGCTCGCCGAAGTTAGCTCTCGGGCTAAACTATAAACAACGTATCTTTTAAATGAGTTACAAAACAAAATCTACATCCAAAAGTATCTAGTGATCAAATGGGAAAAATAAGAATTTTATACATATTCAGTTTGAGCGATCATCCGCAGCTTTTTCGAAACAAACGACAGGCAAACGAAAGAAGCCATTCACTGGAGTACGACTTCCGGTGAAATTGCGTTGTTTCCTAGAGCCCAGCCTACAGCGCCATGGAATGTGTAGCGGTGGTGTCTGGTACAACAGGCAAAGCTAGTTCATGTGAAGATCTGATCTGCAGCAATTTGGGACAGCAAGTGGCTATATTTTGAACTATGTGGATCCAGTGTAGATAGAAATAAAACGTGCCGGTAGTTTGTTTAACGGTACGGAATTGTTCAACCGGGCAACCAACATTAGCTGAGCTTCAGGTAACTTATGCCATCACAACTTGCATGGACGCTACCACAAAACAAAACCAACTGACCAACTGAATGTCTAGCTAGCTGGTTGCGATGGTCGTTTTAGCCATTTTCAGTGCATCTAGTAAAGCCAGATATAATTGGTTTAGTAATAGGGCATGCTGTTAGCTATCAGTAAAGATATTTATTATTTTCAACAGTGTCGAGACTGTCTAAGTTAGCGTCTGGTGAGCTGAAAGCTAACCTAAGTAGCATCGGTAAGCTAACGTTACTTCAACAAGCCCTGCTGATAACTTTGCAATGCTTTGCGTGATAACATATTTGTTGCCTCCTTTTGAAAGAGAATATCTGCTTTTGTTGGCTGTACCATTGATTTATTGGGTTATTGGTGTTAAAACATGTTGTCAAAGCAGCTTTTCTAATCTCAGTTTTCAAAGCTAATAGAA